TCCCGGGTGCTGGGATTACAAGTGTGAGCCACTGTGTCCGGCCCCAAATAGTCTCAACACATACACACACACACACACACACACACACACACAGAGACATATACCCACATGCACCAAATACAGCTTGGAAGTGAGGACAGATAAAACTCATTGGCTTGTTTATTTCATAAATTTGCTTTCTACCATGAAATAATTTCAATCTGTTGCTGCTTTTCTAATAAAATATGTGGGTGAGAAACATCATTGGCCTAAGGAGAGAACAGAGTTTCTGAAGTTGGGCATCCAGTGTCTCTGAGCCCCACCGTGTGTGGGTGGCCACTGTTCACAGCAGCGAAGATCAGATCACTGTGTCGGCACATTTCAGCTCTGTCCAGCAGACCCCTCCCCGACACGCTCGTTCACTTGGCTGAGTCCTGCCTGTAGCTTGGCTGGGCTCAGTTCTTTCTGTTGAGATTGTTCTTCTTGCTTTTTCCAACCCCTTACCTCGCCAGGGTGGCTCAATGAATTGGCACTTTAAATAAAACTCGCTGGAAGCCTGGGTCAGGTTCCCAGCTGTGCCTTGGCCAGCACAGCCTACGCTCTCATGGTCCATTCCGCAGTTCTTCTCCAGCACCAAGTAGAAGCCAAGCCAGGATCTAGGCATGAGGGAAAAGGCTGCGAATCAATCAGAAAATAAAAAGTCCAAATCCCTTTCTACATAAGGTTACATTCCCATGGAATAACAGAAACTCTCTTCCCTCGAAAATGGTATTGTGTCTCTGCACACTCTGTGTAATACTCGCACTCAGTTTGTGAGAGTTATTGTCATTAAACTTGTTTATACACGCAAAGACAGATTTGGAAAGGTTAACAGCTCATATTAGGTCACGGAGCTGGTGGGGACCAATCGCAGCCAGACGGTCCCAGGTCAAGCTCTTGGCTCTTTTTCACGGACTGGTGTGCAGAAGAACTGATTGAGTTCCCCACTACTTCCTGACCCATTGGTTTCTTCAGGGTTCTTGACTAATTGCTTAATCTATGCTTTGCAATGACAAGCATATCATTTAGGCAGAGAAATTATCGAGAAACTTGAAGCTATAACTGCACCTGTCTGGCCACAATATTCTGAATCCTTATCCTCCCGAGGGCATTCGAAGGGCCCCTGTGAAACTCTTTATTTTATATTCCCTGGGTTTTCAGCCCACTGGCTTCCATTAGTGTCTAGGGTATGGGGTCATTTGGTACCGCTTTGGGTGCTGGAAAATCGTCCAAGGTAAAAATAAGTGTGTAAAGAAACAGACGGAACTGGGGCTCTACAAGGTCAAAACATGGGGATTTGTTGCTCCGCTACAGGGCGAACCATTGAACACCTATGTCGTGGGTTGTGTTTTCTCCGGAGATGAGCGGCGGGCATTGCTGTGTTGGGTTGTGTAAGACCATGAGCCGATTCTGGTGCTAGTTTTCCCTTCTTCCCTTTCCTCCCCTTTCCTCTTATTGCTGTAAGGAGTTAGCCCATTGTATTATTTGGAGGAAGGCCTGGAGTCACATTTTAGAGAATTGTAAAGCTGCTTATAAAAGCCTTCCAAACCAGGCATCCAGGAGAGGCAAGTAAGATAAAGGAGCTTGTGGGGAGAGTGCAGCCGGGGCCACAGGGCAGAGCAGCTGAAGCCAGTTTTTGGTCATTAGCAATTTCCTGGGTCTTGCGCTTCAGCTGAAGAGCTCTGAGCTGTGCCTTTGAGCACCACTTACAAAATTTTTTCAGTTTGTTCATACTTTCTAAACAGTTTCAACATAAATCCAAATAATTCAACCCAAAGGCTTAATTTCTGTTCTATTTAGAGTTTTTTTTAATTTTTTAAATGCATTTTGTCTCTTTAATGACCACTGGTGACATCTTGGCCACATCTGGCTGATCAAGGCATTTCAGCTCTCGAGGCTTAAAAACAATGGAGCGATTTGCTAATATTTAAAATGCAGGTGACTTCACATGAATAATAAAGATTTCCGGCTTCTCTTAAAGAACCAGAACCTGTGGCTACGTTGAACTCGTAGTCCCCCATTCCCCCATGTAAATATCAGACTGAGGATGACTGTTACCATGGCTACTGATCTTAAAAAGGACCTGTGCTTTTTTTTCAAACACACTTCCTCCAGTCTAGGTTGGAGGAGGTTTGAGCAACCTTAACCAATCACTTTCTCTTCCTGAACCTGATTGGAATTTATGATTATGACTCTTGGTCTTTTTCTGCTAGTAGTAAGCAGGTGTGTGTGCGTGTGTGCATATGTGTTTATATGTGTGTTTCAGGCCACTTATACAGGGAAGTGTGTCTGCATTAAGGAAGAATGCTTGATACTATCACCGTTTTGACTTCATTTTTTTTTTTTAATCACAGTATTTATTCAGAGACTTGAATGTCATTAAAGGAAGGATATCAATTCATTATGTGTATCAACAGTGGACACTGAATAAAAGTGATTTTCAGAACGGAGATCTTGCCAGTTAATGCGTCATAGTAGAGATTAAGAATTTCAACAGCAGTATTAAAAAATAAGATAGGATAGAAAAACATCAACGTGGTATGGATGGATGACAGATAGGTCAGGACACTGATAGATATGCTGGATCACAGTCCAAACTGCTGCCAAATCTGATACTTATCAATCATACGACGAAGTATTTTTAAGCCAGGTACCCTCCTTGTTTAGATAAGCAAGGTTGGCATTTCAGGGAGTAAATAAATACACAATGATCTCTGTCCCAGGAGAGACAGATGACTACTGCCTCTTCTAAAGAATCCATTAAAACAACCTAACTTTTCCATATTTGATGAAAAATGATACATGAAAACCATGAAACCTCAAAACATTAGATGCTGAGGGGTAGAGGCCAGTTTGTCTGGTGGCTTAATGAGAAGGAGGTCGCACTAACAGGTGACGTATTTTGAGATGTTCTCAGGAAGGAAATGAGGCTTTCTTAAAAATACCTTGAATTTTAGTTTGAATTCTTTATTGGATTAGGGTGACTTAATAATGAAAATGACACGATCAGTGATGTTGTGAGCTAGTTCTTTATATTAGCTAATTAAAAGAGTGATTTTTAAAAAATTTTTCTTGAATAGCCCATATTCATGAAATTCAAACTACGTAGGTTTTGACCAATTGCTCAGGTCATGCCATGAATGGAAAAACTGCCCTGTGGCCTTGGTACTGTGTGAGCTGCAGGAAAGTAGATAGAAGTATGTGTCATCATCCTTGTTTATTGGATTCATTGCATGGGTTGGAGTAGATAAAACCTGGTTAGTCGTTTGAAAATGTACTGAATTTTCATGTTGTGTGAAACAGTATTTTTAGATAGGAGCAAAACTCAGGCTATAAAGCCAGCGTTCAACTTTTCTGCAGGAGATTCTGAAGCAGAAGTACCATTGCTTCGCTTCTTTAAAACAAACAAACCCAAACAACCTTTCAGTTTATTCTTGTTGCAGTGGTTTAGCTGGCCCGGGTCGGGTTCGAACCTGCCACCCTCGCTGCATGTGCCTGGCGCTGTAACCACGTACTATGGGTGCCGAGCCTAGTTCATTCTTGATATATGAATGTATCAAAATCAGAGATCTTTATTGTTTTAAATCAGAGATTTTTAACCGTGTCTGCATGTGATTTTGTGCAAGTTGTTTCAAAATATTAATAGGAATCATATTTAATAATATACAGGGTGGCCATAAATTGCAAACAAACTTTATAGCCAACCTGTATATACTCACTCACACACATATATATACACACTAACATATATTTAATTGAAAAACATGTATTTAGTTCTTACCTAATCATGTGTGCCAATTTCCCCTTATTAATAAAATTCATTTCTGTCTTTTTTTAATGGTCTGAGATGGAGGTAATCCCCCTCTAGACACGTATTATGAAACCCATACTGCCTTCCCTGAAGAACTTCTCTTACGCTGCAAACATGAAGTCTTGCTCATTAAAAAAAAGAATTTTTTGAGACACATTCTCACTTTTTTGCCCTCGGGATTGTGCTGTGGCATTGTAGCTAACACCAAACTGAAACTCTTGGGCTCAAGTGATCCTCCTCTTGCCTTAGTTTTTCATTTTTAGTGGAGACAGGGTCTCAGTCTTGCTCAGGCTGGTCTTGAACTCCTGAGCTCAAGTAATCTCGTGGCCTCAGCCTCCCAGAGTCCTGGGATTACACATCTGAACCACTGCTCCCGGCCAAAAAAAAAAAAAATACTTAACTGAATTAGATTCATTACATTGCGTGGAAGCTGGAGTAATATTTGAGCCAGTTGGAGTAATATTTTAGAAATGAAGGAATCTTTGTCTGTGAAGAATGTTAGAGCAGAATCTGTGAGAGACAGAGAAGCTTCCTCTTCCTCTGAGCTGACTGGTGGAGTTTCTGATGAGAAGTTACTCCGGGACTGAGAGGGAACGAAGTTACGTAGGGTCCCTCTTCAAGACGGTCAAGTGAAATATAGACGGGACACTCAGGATTAGCAAACAGCTGTCTTAACCTTCCCTGTTACTTTATGATAAAGGAAAACCAAATCACTCAGCACACATCAGCCTAGAGTGATTAGTCCCCTGCCCTTATTAGTAAAAATTAATTGGACACTGCACATTTTGCATCTGATTAATTTGACTTAGCAAATGTGAGCAAGGATCCCAATCTCGTAATATGTGGTCATAGAGCCTCATGGCGTATTCCAGGCTCTGAGTGCACTGAACTTCTAGGCCAGTGTTTTTTCAACCTTTTTAATCTCACAGCACACTTGAACTTATAAACTTCATCACACACTTAAATTATGTTGCCCCCCCCAAAAGAGTAAAAAATATACCCTTACTATGCTTTGAACTTCTTTGGAAAATAATTTAATTAATGGTCTTTAAATTTTTTGGAAGCACACCTGAGATCCTCTTATGGCACAAGTGTGTGCCGCGGCACACAGGTTGAAAATCACTGTTCGAGGCCTTGGATTTTCAGAACCTTCTTGTTTTTGTTTTTGCAGGATGTGTGAGACTGGCGAAGGGCTGTTTATCTTCCAGACACGAGACGGGGAGGCCATCTATCAGAAGGTCCACTCTGCCGCCTTGGCCATAGCTGAGCAGCATGAACGTTTGCTACAGAGTGTGAAAAATTCTATGGTACGTTTGGAATTTCCTCCTTATGTCCCAGGGTGTACCGCCGTACAGGGCAATCTGGTAATCTTTGTGCTGAAAAAATATGGCCAGTGTTATTTAAATAGATGGCTTATTCTTGAACTCAGCGTGTGCGACTTGGATTAAAGGCCATCCTGGAATGCTGGAAGGGGCCGGTCAATCACACCATAACCTTGCATCCCCATAATGTTGCCTACTTGGCAACTCAGTTGTTGTACGTATGTAAAAATCCATTTGGATATCAATGGACATCTATAGCTACAACTACCTGTGTTTCCCCCCAAATAAGACACTGTCTTATATTTATTTTTTCTCAAGAAGACACACTAGGGCTTATTTTCAGGGGATGTCTTACTCTCTGCACCGAAATGCAGGGCGTGGCTATGCAGATACACTGCATAGCCATGCCCATCACCAGGCCTTATTATCGGGTAGGGCTTATACTTAACAAATGCATAGAAATCCTGCTAGGGCTTATTTTGGGGGTAGGTCTTATTTTGGGGGAAACACAGTGTATGCATTATCTACGTAGGGATACATGTATATTTAGCTACATCAGAAGTTATCGTTTTAAATGTCAACAGGGGCCAGAAAGGAAGCGTAAATGAAAGAATAGAGCTGAGGGAAACTGGAGTGAAATGGGAAGAGCCCGAGAGCAGATAGCTGTTGACATGAGACAGTGGGATGTGTGTAGGCAGACCACTTGAGTTTTCAAGGGAAGCCAAGGATGTATGTCTGTATACAGGGTGGCCATAAAGCTCAGGTGCAGCTTAAAAGTGCACAGGAACTTTGTGACCATCCTGCATAACACCTTCCAGTTGGTAATTGCTGGAAGTTAATTCCAGTTTAAAAAAAAAAAAAAGTAACACTTTGTGGGGCCAAGAGAACCTATCCGAAGATGACACGCTCCCCACAGCCATGCACTTGCTGCCCCTGAGGGGAACCTTCACGGGCATCTGTGTGTAAGGACCCCACAAACACAAACACAGACGTGCACACAGACCTGCCCTCAGAACGCTTGCTCTTTGCATTGTGTTATGCTAGGGATTGTCGGTTGCACAGAAACTTGGCATTCATGAGTTCCTTTAAGAAGAGTAAATTCATGAAATTATAAGTGAATGCCCAGCAGTTAAAGGATGCAGATCCTGAATTGTGGCAGACAAACATAGAGCTTTGTTGTACCCAGAATTTCCCTGAGTCCCTGAGCCCACGAAGGGACGAACCGAGATATACTCCGATGTAAAAGCAAGAGGCAAGCTTTATGTGGCAAACTCGAGTTTGGACCCTCTCTTGGCAAACATACCAAAGAAGGCCCCGAGCCTAGGGAGTTGGAAAGTTTTATAGGGTACAGAAAGCAAGAAGGGTGAAGAAGGGTGGGGTACATTTTTGATTGGTGGGCGGCACATGGGGAAGTAGGGGTGATTGGTGGTCGGGGTATGGGGAAGTAGGGGGAGGCTCTGGATTGGTACAGGTTGAGGGGTGGGGGATTTTCCTAACTGAGATGAGGGAGGGGGCTTGAGGTGGTATGGAGCAAGAGGGGTAAGGTGCACTTCTGATTGGCTGGCTGGGAGGTTTGATTTCAGGGAAAAGCCTGGGTTTTGGGGAAGCTGAAGCTTATTATCTAAGATGGCGGCGGGGGCTTAAAATGAGGAACAGAACTTAGGCAGTAAACAACAAAATGGTGCTGGTCTGGCCCTCTCAGCTTCACGCCTGGGAGGGAATCTGCAAAACCAGAAAAGTCTGGGTTGGCACGGTCACCTTAGGGTAGTTTGCAAATTTACAATTTAAACGCGTGTGGGGTGGATGGATTTAAAGAGGGGGGGAAGAAAGCCAGTAAGACAACCTGTCCCAAAGCAGCCCCAGACTGTCCCCAAGTGATTTGTACACACAGCACTCTGGGGTTCTAGAACAGGGGTCGCAAAACTTCCTGTAAAGGGACAGACAGTAAATGTTTCAGGCTTTGGGGACTAATGTGGTCTCTGTTGCAGCTACTCAGCTGCCCTTAAAGCTTGACAGTGACCATAGCAAATATGTAATCAACTGTGCATGACTGTACCCCCAAAAAGACTTTATTAGTGACCAGTGAAATTCACATTTCATATAATTTTCACATAGCACAAAATCTTGTTCATCACTTGATTTTTTTCCTAAGCCATTTAAAAATACACAAAACTTCCTTATTGATTGATTGATTTTTTGCTTATTGGTCATACAAAAATAGGCAGGAGGCCGGGTTTGGCCCACAGGCCCAGTTTGCTATCAGAGACGAGCGAGGGCTCCCTGGGAGCTGGCTCTGACCTGGGCATTCATGAGAAACTCAGCCTGGACTTCAGACATGGGTACAGTTTCAGAGGTGGTGATAATTCATCCCCCGGGAGGCCGGGGCTGAATTAAAGGGTTATGATGGATAATTTTATGTGTCAACCTGACTGGGACACGGAGCCCCCAGACATTTGGTTAAACGTTCTTCTGGGTGTGCCCGGGAGGATGTTTCTGAATCTGCAGCATGTAAATCAGTGGATAAGTAAAGCGAATTGCCCTCTGCAAAGTGACTGGACCCCATCAATCTGCTGGAGGCCTGGGTAAACTAAAGGGCAGGTAAGAGGGAGTTAGTCTGCTTTGCTCGGTGGTCTTGAGCTGGGACGTTGTCTCTTCCTGTCTCTGAATCTGGACTAGAACTCAATGCCATCTGCTCTAGGGCATCCAGGATACAGATTTGGAGATTTCTCAGCCTGCATAGTTGCAGGGGCCAAATTTTTATAATTTATCGCACTCTCTGTGTGTGTGACACACATTTATATTTGTGTTGTTTCTTGAAAACCTTGAGTAATCTAATACAGAAGTAGACACAGATAAAGCAGAGATAAAGGTTAGTAACATTGCACCGTGTTTACGATTCCCACCCACGAAGCCAGACCCGGTCCCAAGGCCGACTCTGAGCCATTCTGGTTTTGTGAACAAGAGCAAAGTAATTACGTCCCTGAGCTCCAGGTTTTTCCTTTCTAAAATGGGGATGGTAATAGTGTTTATCTTAAAGCTGCTTTGCAAGGTTTAAGTGAGGTACATACGCTGGTCACACACTCAACATGGAACCCATCATAGGGTAAGTTTCAGTGAAATGTAGCTATTGTTACTGTTATTAATAGCTGAGCCATCTTTAGTGCTGCTATTAATAGCTGAGCAGACTGGTTGGTCCAGAATGGGCCTTGCAGTGGCTGATGAAAATGGCTACGGTGGTTAATTTATCCAGCAACATATATGCATTTCATTGGCACCTCTCCCTTCCCTCTCTCCCTCTTTTTTTTTTTTTGTTCTCTCTCATTATCTAAGTAGAACAAATCTAAGAAAAGCAGAATAAATCTAAGAACAAGATTGAGAAGGAGTGGAGATGTAATTTGATAGTTTTTAGAGAATCATGAATTAGAAACTAGTTCAAGAAACTATGTGATCTATTTACTATTTCCTGATTTCAAAAGGAATCTGTTAGATCATTGAAAAATGGCAGACAATACACCTGAACCAAAAGAACAGAGCCAGTCACCGCCACGCCTGCTGGGCCCATCACTGACATCAAAGGGTGTAGCTTTTAGTATTTTAACAATGTGTATGTAGAAAATAGAATTAGACCACATGGCTTGGGACTAGCTCTTAGCAAAAACCGTACCTACGTCTACCTACCTCATTAAAAATTATCTGCAACATCTTATTTCATGGTTATATCATGTTACAGGCAGTCCCTGAGTTGTAAACATCCCACTTATGAACAGAAAATGACATTACAGTGAGTCCCCGAGTTACAAATATCAGACTGACTTACAACTTGGATTTATAAACGGAGATGATTACAGATAATAGGTAAATAGGCCTTATATACAAAGTCAACCTAAGAACAAACTTAGAGAACCTATCTCATTTGTAACCTGGGAACTGCCTCTATGTTATATATATGTTCCTGTGATATTTTTAAAACTATGCTTCCACTCAGAGTTCAATCTGTATCATCAGTGTGTAGCTGCTGTTCAGGATAAATTCTTAAACACTAATTGATGAATCAGAGGCTGTGAATGCTTCGAGGATCTGACTTCCTTTCCAAGTAGTCTTTGAGTCTTAGGACCTATTTCCCCCGTATTCTTACCAGTTTTGGATATTGCAATAGAGACAGAGAATGAATGGGTGGAGATGTAGGAGAGCTGAGAAGTAATTCAAATACTTTAAAACCTACAGAGCAGCATGTCGTGTAGTTATCCAGTTAGCTGTCTTTAAGCACCTAAAGTTTTTCCAAGACCACCTTATTTGTAAAGCCATCAATTAGCATCAATTGTTTTGCGCTCAGGAGGTGGGTTCTGTGCCCACCGGTGTGTGGTTTTCCATTAATGGCCTCCTTTTTATTTCCCCTAGAAATTAATGAGGAATATGAGTGACTCGCTCAGATCATCCCTGTGCAAATGTAACTAGAAAATAATGCTGCCTACTCTTAATTTGCCGTGCACTTAGCAGGGTCTGTAAAATGAATGAGAGTGTAAAGCCGTAGCTCCCTGTTTTTAGATGGAAATGAGTAAGTTTCAAAATGGGATCTGAATCTCAAGGAGTGAAAGTGGGGATTGTGAAAAGCCTAATCCGTATCCTTTAATCAATCCCTGATTAGGACATGTCATGCTAAATAAGACAGATGGGGACAGCATTCCGGGCCGACCCTGCCCAGGATATTGTATTGAGTTTTCTGGCCATTGAGAATGGAGCCACCTGGATCTGGCGGTGCTCTCCACCAGGAATTGCCTCCGTGCCACCGCTGGTGTGCTTCTCTGAGATGACCAAGGTCACAATGGGGAAAAGTGCTGAAACTTGCCTCTGGCTTACCCTCCTTGTTAGGAAGAGGTAACTCCCTGTTCACTGCCACTGGAGTGAGATTGCCTGGAGCACATCTGCGGGTGGGAGGCTGGACCATGAGACCTGTCCCTGCCAGGCTGAAGTTACAGCCCAGACTG